TTTAGAGCATGCAAGCTTTTTTAGGGAAAAAAATATGGAAGCATTTTCAGTGTCAAGTCTCACCACGAGGCAGGCTCTTCAAGCTGGAAGAAAGGCATCCGGAAATACGAGTTTGTCATGGAAACGCTGACGGGGCTTCAGCTGAGTGATGCTCACAGGTGCAACCCAGAATGGCACAGCCTCTTGTGGCTTATTTACATCCCAGCCTGCTGAATGAGCTCGCTTTTCTTGTCGCCTGGCCCCTGGGGCTTCTTATCAGGAAGAACTGTGGCTGTGGCTGTGTTTCTTGGAGGGGGTTTTCAGCAGGAAATTACAGGGGGTCTTAGGATCAGTTTCACATCTGGGAGAAAGGCTCCTGGAGAGAGTGGAGAGATGAATGAGGTAAAGAATGAAGAAAAGGAGGGAAGGAAGGAAAACATACTGATTCTAAGTGCCAGGAGTGACCCAAGGAGCGCACAGGCATCACCTTCATGTCTTCATCACCATAGGCTGTAACCCAGTGAGGTACCCAAGGTTATCCCTGTGTTACAGAGAAGGAAACAGGCTGGCAGCACCCAGAGGGGAGCTAACAACCACATCCTTGGGTAGACTAGATGGCCAGTGGTGCAAGGATTGGGAAGCTTCCCCTGAACCCACCACTTTGGCTGACACCAAAAGCCCTAGAGCAGGGAACAAAGGCCCTCTCTTGACAAGCAGGGAGAAACCTAAAGAGGCCATTCCTCCTGGGAGACGCTGCACGCTGACTCCCCTGAGTCCTGTCAGGGTGGATGACTGACCACGACCCTGTGCTGCAGGCAGGCTATGCTCCAGGAGGGACACTGGGTCCTTGAAGATACAGGTTCTCTGTTCTTCCCAGCCAGGCTCCAGGAGCCACGGCAAGAGCCAGACAAGGGCATCAGTTGCTTTATGGAGCCAATAGGTGGGGCCTAAGAGGCTGGGGGAGGGAGTTGGGAATAGGAAAATGTTGTCTATGGGACGTTTCCATTTGGCAGAGAAAGTGTGGTCCCTTAGGGGCTCTCAATCCAATACGATAGGAGAGACAAGAGCTCTGCACACATGGAGTCCAAGAAAGATGGAGGAAAGAAGGCACAGGCCAGAGATTCTAGGAGCTCACAGACTGAACAGGGAAAGACCTGTTTTTCCCAATCCTGGCCACAGACCTCTGACTAACCACCTTGGGAACTGCCCTGGACTGTGGCAAGAGTTGGGGTGAGACTCAGACCCCCCAAGTCCTCTCCTACACATTTACAAGGTCCCCAAAGTATCCTTCTGCAGCGCTTTCTATCAGAGCCATCTGCTCCTGGGGGCTTGCAGCTTTGGCCAGGACTAGCGAGTGGCTCTGCTGGGAGTCTGCTCTAATTAGGCCCAGGGCCACTCCCCAGCCCCATCTGTCCTGAGCAACATGAGTCCCACCTTTTCCTCCTCACCAGGAGCCTTGGGAGCTTGGGAGACATTCCAAGGCTGGCTCTGACATGAATTTGCTGTTCAGTGCGCCAGGCGATCAGAGCTGACTCCTCTCCCTTTTTCCTTGGAGGTGTTGATAGTAACAGCAGCGATGAGCTGCCAAGTTGGCAGGAGAACAGAGCGACTGTGCACTGCGGATGGAGGGGGGTGGGAAGCAGCAAGCCGGCAGAGGGCTGGGCCAGAACGACAGTTTGTTTATCCTCAAATTGAAAGGGTCCCTCCAGTCTCAGCCACCAGCATCTTGCAGGAGGGAGGGAGACTTCCTAGAAGGTGGAGGCTCTGTGGGGAGACCCAGGGTTGGTGATGTGGGTATTGCTAGAGTTGAGTGGGTGGAAAGGATCTTCTGGTTGGGCCTGAAGTCATCAGCCAGCCTGGCCCCAGAGGCAGGACAGAGACCCACCTTTGCTCCTGCTGTTGAGGTGGCTGTGGAGTTTCTAAATTGGAATGCACCTGGAGTGGGGAACTAGAGTTCTGAACCTGCTTCCTCCTAAACACAGAGACCTCAAGGGGCACTTAGGAGGGTACTCATGCTCTGTCAATCAAACGAACCTGGGACCTTGGGCAAGTATTTGAATCCCTTGAACCTTAGAGATTAATATTTACTTTAAAGCTTTGTGTGGGGATTCAATAAAGTAGTGATGGCAAAAATTTGTCTCCTGTTTACTCCAGGGCAGACACTGTGCTAAGAGTTTTCTGTATGTGCATGCATTTAATCTTCAAACTTTATCAGATGGGTACTATTCGTATTCCTATCTTATGAATGAAGTAACTGAGGCACAGGGGGGTAAGTAGCTTACTCAGTGTCACAGAGCTAATGAGTAGCCACGTTGGGGATTTGAACCTAGTAGTGTGTTGCTGAGGCCTATGTTCTTAGCCCCTGTACAAATTGTCTTCACAGTGCAACTGAGCTCTGAGCAGGGTGCCTGGCACAGAGCAAACATTTAATGAATGTTAGCTACCATCATGACTCCCTGAGAGCCAGTTCCAGACAGGGGACCTAGGCTCCTGATATCTATACCAGGGACTCCCTGGGGTCCTAGGTTGTCGTCTTTCCATCTTTTGTTTATACTATCTTGCTCATCCTAGGAGCTGGAGGAACTTCTCTTTTAGAGAGATTGCTGCTGGCCTTCCCTGCTTCTCTCATCCCCTCCTCCCGAAGGCAGAGCAGAGGAATTCTCGGCTTCTTCCAGTTACCCTCAGCCTGCAAAGAAAACATAGTCTGCTGTGTCTGCTGCCAGTTCCTCTCTGGCGACAGCCACAACCCATTTGCTCAGCACCAGCCCCAGCCTGTGCTGTGGGTAGAGCCTGGAGCCTGGGGCAGGACCCCAGTGCCCTATGTGAGAGCCTGGGTCAGTTACTGCAAGGCTGGGCCTTGGGGGCCACTTGAAGGGATAGGCATGGCCCACATAATTTCTGGAAGACTCTGGCTGTAAGAGTGATGACTGAAGGTTGGTGTGCTGTATGCATGAACTCTATTTTTGGCCTTTTTTTTTTTTTTTTTGAGACGGAGTCTCACTCTGTCACCAGGCTGGAGTGCAGTGGCGTGATCTCGACTTACTGCAACCTCAGCCTCCTAGGTTCAAGCAATTCTCCTGCCTCAGCCTCCCGAGTAGCTGAGACTACAGGCGTGCATCACCATGCACAGCTAATTTTTGTATTTTCACCATGTTGGTCAGGAGGGTCTTGATCTCCTGACCTCGTGATCCACCTGCCTTGGCCTCCCAAAGTGCTGGGATTACAGGCGTGAGCCACTGCACCCGGCCGCATAGACTCTTTCTAGGGTAGGAAATCCATTGTATCAACATGTTCTCAATTTTGGGAGCTTCATTAATACAGCCATGCAAATTGGTAACCAGCTTTACAAGCTCACTAAACTGTGCTACTGGCCACCCTTACCTCTTGTCAGGTGCCAGACAAAGAATCCTGTACCACTTTCTGGGTGGCCAGAGCTACTTCCTGCTAGTTGGGAGACAGCAAAACCACAGCCAGGAGCCCGGATTACTGACTGCTTCCTCGGCCTGAATTCTTCTCTGGGACAATGAAACATCAGGCGTTTGTGTGGGGGAAAGGAACTGCAGTGTGGACACCTCAGAACAACACTGTTTTGTTTATGTAAGCTGTGAAGCTCTGTGGGTATGTTGGCTACAGAGTCACGCCCCCATTTCCATCACATAAGAACTGATGACAGGAGATCAGGTAGGGTTGGGAGGCTGGGCCTAAAACTCTGCTATGAGGCCGGGCGCGGTGGCTCAAGCCTGTAATCCCAGCACTTTGGGAGGCCGAGACGGGTGGATCACGAGGTCAGGAGATCGAGACCATCCTGGCGAACAACGTGAAACCCCGTCTCTACTAAAAAATACAAAAAACTAGCCGGGCGAGGTGGCGGGCGCCTGTAGTCCCAGCTACTCGGGAGGCTGAGGCAGGAGAATGGCGTAAACCTGGGAGGCGGAGCTTGCAGTGAGCTGAGATCTGGCCACTGCACTCCAGCCCGGGCTACAGAGCGAGACTCCATCTCAAAAAACAAAAAAAAAAAAAAAAAAAAAACTCTGCTATGAACTCAAAAGGAAATGGAATATTCTAAATATTATAGAACAGACACAGCAAGGATATAGTATCTTCTAGTTAGAAACTTTTAATTAAAAGAATGTTCACTCCATAGGGATCAGCTAGAACATGATGGTCAATAATTATAAACAGCTGAGCATGGTGGTGTGTACCTGTAATCTCAACTACCAGGGAGGCTGAGGCAGGAGGATCACTTGAGGCCAGGAGTTTGAGGCTGCAGTATGCCACGATTGTGCTTGTGAATAGCCACTGCATGCCACCCTGGGCAACATAGCAAGACCCCATCTCTAATTTTTTTTTTTAAATTATGAACAAAATGGACAGTCACAACCCAACAATTTCTTTACCATGCTCACTACACAAGCAGCACTTAAGACTCCTTAGGCATAGGAGTACTCTGCCTGGGCCAGGGAGGTGGAAAGGAAACTGAGGCGCCAAAGTAGAAGAGAGGTCCTGAGATGTTTCAAGGCACACATAGAAGGCAGTTGCCTATCACCACACAGGCTGACCACCATCTTAGTCTCTGGGATCTAAAATATTCAACTTGGGTAGTAGTTCATGCCTGTAAACCCAGCACTCTGGGAGGCCAAGGTGGGAGAATCGCTTGAGCCCAGGAGTTCAAGACTGGCCTGGGCAGCATGGCAAGACCTCATCTCTACTAAAAATAAAAAATAAAGTTAGCTAGGCATGGCGGCACATACCTGTAATCCCAGCCACTCAGAAAGCGGAAGCAGGAAGATCCCTTGAGCCCAGGAGTTTGAGGCTACAGTAAGCTATGATCATGCTGTGGACCCCAATTTGGGCAACAGAATGAGATCCTGTCTGAAAAAAAAAAAAAAAAAAATTCAACTCGGTTTGTTGGAGATTTGCTTTTTCTAGTGTTGTGACAGAAGCCAGAAAGAGAAAAGAATGCCTTATAGTCAACTCACTGGCACATGCTTGTTCTGTAAAGTAAATTACAAGGGTCTTAGTTTATTGTGCCCAGAAATGCATTTATTCTATTGGACCTTGAGGGGCTCATTCACAATACATGACAAATCGTCTGAGGGGTGGGTGTAGTGGGAGACTCTCTCGAGGAGTGAAGAACGACTGTCTGCTTCCCGCTGCTGGTTCAATGTGGTGCCAAGCAGCAGTCAGAAGAAAGGCATGAAACCAGGTGAGGTGAGGAGCAGAGAGCCGGAGCTGAAAGCAGAGGGCGGAGTTGACCATGAATGAGAATATTAAGGTCAAGGCAAGAGCTATAGGGTGTGGACACCTGCCTGCCTGTGAGAGAACCCCATGGGACTGGGTGGCGGGAAGAGGGCACGCTCCCCAGTGCTTGACCTCCTGGGATGGGGCACATGGCAGGCCAGTGCAGAGGCAGGAGGATGCCCTGGATGACCTGTGAGAGAGTTCTTTCCCTCTGGAGGCCTTGGGAGGAAGCCAAAATGGGCCTGCAGAAGTGGGTCAAGGTTCAATTTTCCTGAAGAAGCCCTGAGCTGGAGACAGGATGCATTGACTATTTATTTATTTACGAGGCTATCGATTATAATGCAGCTTTTCCACAGGATCCTGAGGCAGCTCGAGTTGGGAGAAGAAACCTCCTACCAGCTCATTTTCTCTGTCCTGGAGATGTCAGGTGTTCAGATAGGCTGCCTCCCTCCCTCCCTGGTGGTTTTCTCTCCTCTCCCCACCCCTCTGCAGCCCTCACCTCTGCACACCCTGAAGGATGGAGGCTCCAGAGCGTTCCTCTGGTCTCTCAGGTCTGGCTGTTCTGGGTTCTTTCCAATATTTAGGGCATATTCCACTACTCCAAATCCTGAGAGCACAGGCTGTGTGCTCCACATGAATAGATGAAAGATTTCTCAGTTATGAAAGGCCTCTGAGATCTTCCAAGCAAAACTCTTTTTTACTGAGGAGGAACAGAGGCCAAGGAGAAGTGATTTCTCCCAAGTCACACAAGGTGAGAGGCACAACCTGGACAAGCATGAGGCCTCCTGATTCCCCCAGGTGACGATCTTTTTCACTCTACCATGCTACCTCCCAATAGGGCCCCTTTGACTTGAAGTGAACCCCCAGACAGAACCTTAATGCCCACTCTTTCCCCTCAGTCCAGGGTTGGGGTGCCCCTGAGCTGGGAATCACTCTCGGGGGCCCTTGCTCTCATTGGCATTCTCCCAGCAGGCCTCTCCTTGGTTTGTTTTGCACTTGGTGACATCTGTGCTCTCGGTCTGCACCACTCCCAAGGAGAATAGAGGAGGTTCTGCTAACCCTAGGGCAAAACAGAGGGTGGTGATAATGACCACAGGCCTGATCAGCCTCGCCTGGCCTCTCCCTCTGCCTTCTCCATGGGCCACCTTTCCTGAGGCCGCTTCCAGCCTTTGTGCCCCAACACTAGCCTTCTGGTGGGTAGAGATGCCATGTCCACTAGTTCCTGTGAACAGAAATGGCTCTTCTCTCTTGGCCCTGATTGCAGAGCTCAGGCTCCTGACAGAGGCAGGAAGAGGCCTGCCCAGATGGACAGAATCTAGGATACTGGCCAACACTGCACCATGCCCCAAGGGCTGTCTCCCCAACTTTGGAGACCCTGAATCTTGGCCTAATTGGATGTGGCTCTAAAGATGAGGGTCATTACTTAGGGCTGGGTGGGCACTTGGCCCTATCAAGATTGTCTATGTCAGATGCAGGGGCAATGCAGCTATAGTCCCAGCTACTCAGGAGGCTGAGGTGCAAAGATCACTTGAGCCTAAGAGTTTAAGGCCAGCCCAGGAAACATAACAAGACCACATCTCTTTAAAAAATAGACTAACACAAAAACAAAAGATTGTCTATGTCCCTCTACCTCTCCTTAAGTTCATTTTGCCATTCATTGTTCCAGGGTTTAACCCCAGCCCAACTTACTGCCTTTATTTGATATTTCTTCCCTTCCTACAGGCTATGCTATCACCAAAAGAAATTTCATACAAGCACTGCATTTTCTTCCTTTATCCCTATTGTTCTATAATGCCCTACCTTCTTGCTCCACACAAGTCGAAAACTCATGTTATAAGCTACCTTCCCTGATTATAGCAGCTGATGTTTATTGAGCATCTACTATATGCTGGGCACTGCACCTTTTCCTCACAGTGACCTCAAAATTCTCCCAATTTCTCCTAGGGTTATACAGTGAGTAGCAAAGTCAAGATTTGAACCCTGGCCTGTGTTCTCCAGAGTCCATATTCGCAGCCACTACACCATATTGCCTCTTAGGAAACAGGTGTCCTTCCCAACATTACCTTTCTCTGACGTAGGATTTGATCGGCACGTCCCTTACCACACACCACTTTTTGATTTTTACTGTAACTACTTAAATCATATCCCTTAGTTTCCTTATTAGACCACGAGCTCTTCAAAAGTAAGGGCTAGGTGACATTTGGTGTCCCCACCACCAGGCCCAGCGCTAGCGCAGACAGGTTTAATTAACTGCATTTCAAATGAAGGAATGAACACATGAATGAACACACGACTGAGTGAATCTGAATTGTAGTGAGGGTTGAAGTCTGTCCACGGTGGAATAGGGAGTTGGAACTTGCTTTTCTGAAGGCCTCAGCCTCACATTGCCTTTTTAAAGGCACCATGGGAAAGGAGGAGAATGGAAGAGTTTCATAGATGAGTGAGAGCAGGAGCACAAACCCCTGCATGTCTGTAATTACAGAGCCTCTTGATGCTGGCTGCTGTTGGCAGCATGCTGGGGAACGTGTTTTCAATCCTCCAGGTTGGGAACTGCTGGTACTACTGATTGCTTTGTGTGATCTGACGTGGCTGTGAAAGGAAAAGAGAGAAGGGGATAATAAAACCTCCGAGCAGTGGCCTTGCCAGCTGTAGGACCTGCTCCAGGAGCAAGAGCCTCCCGTGTGCACCCCACCACTGAGACCCGCTTTTGGTAGGGCAGAGGGGAATCTAGCCACCTCGTCTGTGCTCGACCCTTTTGGGAGCAGGGTCTCCACATGGAGCAGCCGAGGGCAGGGTGGTCTCTGGCTGGGTTAAGGCAGTGTCAATTCACTGGGAAACCTTCCAAGTTGGGAAGAGGTTGCAGGAGGTGGTGAGGTGTAAAGTTCTGGGGAGAGGACCTGAAGTGTCAGCCTCATCTGCAAAGGAGGTGTGTGTGTGTGTGTACGTGTGTGTGTGTGTGTGTGTGTGTGTGTGTGTCTGTGTGTCTGTGTTCACGCTTGCTTGAGTTAAGGGAGGGTGCCCAAAATGGGACTGTGCTCTGTCCTTTCAGGGCCCTGAGGTTCCCTGGTGGGTCTATTTTCTCCAAGGTTCTGTTCAATATTTAGCTTTTCTGGTGCAGGTTTAGAACAGGCAAATCTGGCTCCTGAGCCATGGCTAGGAGAACAGGACTCTGCCTTGATATGAATCCACCTTTGTTGAGAGGAGGTGCACTCCCACCCACCATTCCCAGCCTCCTTTCCACAACTGCCTGTTCACCTCCTGCCCAAACCAAACCACAGTCTCAAAACACTTGCCTTCACATGACTTCACTTGACTTTTACTCTGATACTTGTATTTTCAGAGCCCATTTACACCCATTTGCCTGCTTCCATTCTTATAACAGCCCCTCCAGGGGTACAGAAAGCAAAGATTCTTTTTATTATAGGTGAGGAACTGAAGCCCAGTTTCAGGTCACGCAGCAAAGTAGCAATGGAGCCCCAGGGTTCCCTGCTCTGGCTTCCTGACACCAAGTTCTTTTCCTTCTTCAGTTCTAGGTCCCTACCCATCTGTCTCCTGAAAGGAAATCTTCACAGAGAAGCTCACGCTTCATTACTAACATGCACATCAATTCTCCTGGTCCTGGGTTAAAAGCAACTCAAAACTGGCACCCTCCTTACTCTCTCCTCCTTACCTCCTTCCTCCATTTCTACCCACCCCCACCCCCACTTAAGAAGATGCTCATCTCCAGCAACAATCCTCAATATGGCTCTTGCTGAAAATGTGTGGTAAATGCCAGGGGGCTTTCCTGGGAGGAGAGCCAGTGCTGTTTGTCCTTCCTAGGAAGGAGGAAAAGGCAGTGGTGGCCTGGGTCCCAATAAATGGCCTGTCCAGGCCTCGAGAGGGGCTGAAGACAGGGTGACATGTAAGGAAACTCAGGGATATGATTTAAGTAGTTACAGGGTGATATCTTTCAAGTTTCCCTTTGCCTCACCTCCCAGACTGGGTAACCTAATGGTCACTGGATGGCCACCTCTTTAAGACTAAGACGTCATCTAGCCTGGCTCTACCCTCCATCTGAAACTTTGTCTACGTGACTTTGGGATGTTATGCATTGATTCATTCATTTGTTCAGCAAATACTTATTGATGGCTGACTATGCACCAATGTTTGCTGGAGGTGCTGGCGACACCACAGTAAACATGACAGGCAAGATTCCAAACAGTCTGAGAAAAGAACACAGTTCTTTGGCACACTGTTTTCGGGGGTGAGATGGGTGGGCAGGATAGAGAAGTAATGAGAGCTCAGAGAAGCAGGATAGCTAAGAAGGCCTCTCAGGGAAGACATGTGTCTACGCTGCGACTATAAAGACGAGCAGACCATTAAGCAGGCCAAGAGGGGGAAGAGTGTTCCAGGCACAGTGAACAGCATGTGTGCAGGCCCAGAGGCTACAGACCCATAGTACCCTGAAGGAACTGAAAGAAGCACACAGGACCTGAGTGTAGCATGCAAGGGGCAGATGGAGGGAAGAGGGGGTACGAGATGAGGCTGGAGGGTGGGGCAGGGACTGGGTCAAGGAGGGCTTGAAAACCATGTTGAGTAGAATGAACTTTATCCTACAGACAATAAGCCACTGAAAGCTTTTAAGATGTGTGACATGTTCAGATGCATGTTTTAGAAAGAGATTGTTTTGCTTTTGTGTGGATTGACACTTTTCAATAGAAATATAATGAGAACCACGAATGGGAGCCACATATATAATTAAAATGTTTCTAGTAGCCACATAAACAATGTACAAAGAAACAAGTGAAACTAATTTTAAATAAATTCATCCAACATATAAATATATTATTATTTTAACACATAATCAACATAGAAATACTAAGATATTTTACTTTCTTCATATTAAGTCTATGAAATCTGGTGTGTATTTTACACTTATAGCACTTTTTTTTTTTTTTTTTTGAGACAGAGTCTCACTCTGTCACCCTGGCTGGAGTGCAGTGGCGCAATGTTGGCTCACTGCAAGCTCTGCCTCCTGGGTTCACACCATTCTCCTGCCTCAGCCTCCCGAGTAGCTGGGACTATAGGCGCCCGCCACCACGCCCGGCTAATTTTTTTGTATTTTTAGTAGAGACGGGGTTTCACCGTGTTAGCCTGGATGGTCTCTATCTCCTGACCTCATGATCTGCCCGTCTCAGCCTCCCAAAGTGCTGGGATTACAGGCATGAGCCACCGCCCCCAGCCACTTACAGCACATTTTGAATTGGCCTAGCTACCTTTTGAGTGCTCCAGGCCACATGCAGTTAGAGGCTATCATATTGGACAATGCAGATGTAGAGAATGCATTTGACGAAGCAAGAATGGGTATTAGGAGACAAGGGATGAAACTGTTGCTGTTGACATGGAAGATCATGATGACTTGAGGATAGAGACAGGTTTCAGAGTTACAACTCCCGGGTTTCTGCCTTAGGCAGCTAGTTGGATGCTAGGGCCATGATAAGATGGAGAAGTCAGGAAGAGTTCTGGGGGTGAGTGGATGTGGAAGGGTTGAAAGTGGTTGAAAGTGAGGAGTTCTGTTTTGGACATGTTGCATTCGAGGTGCTTGTGGGGCATCTGCAGAACTTCTGTTCGATAGTTTTTCTTCACTCCAGTTTTTTGACTGGGCACATGGTCACTCAGAATAAAAACCATGTGTGAACCTCTAAGTTCTGGCCAGTGGGATATAGGCACAAGTATTATGAATTCTGGGATGTGTCTTGGAAGAGAAAGAGCATGCTCTGTCACTGCTTTCTCCTTCCTGCTAGAGCCTGAGTGGCCATCCTGGATTAGTTGAGAGTTGAGGGTGACAGAATTATAGGTAGAAGAATCCTGAGACCCTGACACTGTGGATCCGTCACACCAGGCCTGGACTTAATACCTCTGCACTCCTATCTTGTTTGAGCCATTTTATTTGGAATTTCCTTTTATTCACAGGAAAGGGATTCTAATGAATATAGCACTTAAATGGAGATGTTCACAGGGCAGTTAGATCTTATGGGTCTAAAGCTAAGGAGAGGGGCCTGAACAGGCTATATATAGATTTGGGAATTATCAGTCTATAGTTGGTCATTGAAGCCATAGCAACATATAAGATCTCCAAGGAAGAATGGTCTAGTGAGAAGAGAAAAGGATCTAGAACAAAACTCTGAGGAACACCAACATTTAAAGAATGAGCAGAGGAAGAGGAGCCTGCTAAGGAGACAGAAGGAGTAGCCAGAGTGGTAGGAAGAAAACCAGGGAAGTGCTACGCTATGGAAGGCTAGGGAGGAGAGAGTCCCAAGGAGGGACTTGTCAACAGAAAGCAGCCATCTCTGCTTGCTTCTATGAGTGTGACAGGGTCTGAATAACACAACTTAGGGTTCTGTTGCTGTCCCAAATCCCAACAGACTAGTCATGTCATCCTTCTGCTCATAGCCCTTCAGTGGATTCTTAGTTTTTTCAGGATGAAGTTCTAGCTCCTTTGCAGATCCTTTGGGTCCCTCCAAAGTCTAGCCCTAACTCTTCTGTCCAGCCTGTTCCTTTCCCCAGCACACTGCGTCCCTGCCAGACTTGACTTCCCACCATTCCCTGCCTTGGCTCATGATTTTTTCCAAAATTCTACTCACTCTTCAAGACTTACCTCAAATGCTAACCCCTCTGTTCCCTAATTCTTCCATACAGATTAATTACCCCTAACCCATGTTCCCAGAGCATTTTGCTCACTCTTGGTCACAGCCATCACTATACTCTGACCTGTGCTAATAAAGTTGGTCGTACATATATGTGTCTCCCCAGTGATACTGTGGGTCTGAGCAGTCATAACTTCTTCTAGCTACTCATCTCCATCTCCCTCGGTGCCTCCCGCAGAGCTTGTTAGAGATGTTTCAGAAATGTCTATGGATTTAATGGAACTATTGTCCTCCCACAGACCCCAAGTAATAGTGTGATCTCTGTTTTCTTTGTCATAGTATTCTAGGGGTAGAGGTGATAGGGGAGACACTAATATAGAGAACCCTGGTATGGAGGAAAATAGACATGTTGAGTTTAAATCCTGCTGCTCAAAGAAATTGTCCTAGTCTATGTTTCCCTGACTCAAGTAGCTTGTATCAAGAACCACCTTAATAATAGAAAAGCAATAGAAAAAAATAATGAAACGAAAAATTGGTTCTTTGAAGAGATGAACAAAATTGACAAACCTTTAGCTAGACTGACCAAAGCGAGAAAGAGAGAGACAGAAAGAGAGAGAAGAAGGTGAGAGAGACTCAAGTTACTAAAACACTAAAATTAGGAATGAAAGGAGGAACATTATTATCAACCTTAAAGAAATAAACAAGATACAGCCGTAAAAAAGAACAAGATCACGTATTTTGCAGGAACATGGACGGAGGCTACCATCCTTAGCAAACTAACGCAGGAACAGAAAACCAAATACCATGTGTTCTCACTTATAAGTGGGAGCTAAATGATGTGAACTTATGAACACAAAAAAGGAAACGACAAACACTGGGGTCTACTTGACAGAGTAGTTGGAAAGTGTTCCTATTCCATTTTTGAAAGAGTATAAAGGACTGATTTTCATTCTTTAAACATTTAGTAGAATTCACCAGTGAAGCCATCAGGGCCTGGAATTTTCTTTGTGGGAAGTTTTTGAGGTAGTATAATGCAATCTCTTTTCTTGTCCTATTCAGATTACCTGTTTCTTGAGATAGTTTTAGTAGTCTGTGTCTTTCTAAAACTGTGTGTGTTTTATCTAGGCTATCCACTTTGTTCATAGTATCTCCTTAAAATCTCTTTTACTTCTTTTTTAAAATTTTTATTTTAGGTTCAGGGATACATGTGAAGGTTTGTTACATAGAGAAACACGTGTCACAGGAGTTTGTTGTACATATTATTACCGAGCTTAATACCTGGGTGATATAATAATATGTACAACAAACTCCTGTGACACGTGTTTCTCTACGTAACAAACCTTCACATGTATCCCTGAACCTAAAATAAAAATTTTAAAAAAGAAGTAAAAGAGATTTTAAGGAGATACTATGAACAAAGTGGATAGCCTAGATAAAACACACACAGTTTTAGAAAGACACAGACTACTAAAACTATCTCAAGAAACAGGTAATCTGAATAGGACAAGAAAAGAGATTGCATTATACTACCTCAAAAACTTCCCACAAAGAAAATTCCAGGCCCTGATGGCTTCACTGGTGAATTCTACTAAATGTTTAAAGAATGAAAATCAGTCCTTTATACTCTTTCAAAAATGGAATAGGAACACTTTCCAACTTACTTCATGAGTTCAGTATTACCCAGATACCAAAACTAGATGAAGACATCATAAGAAAACTATCAGCTGGGCATGGTGGCTCATGCCTATAATCCCAGCACTTTGGGAAGCCAAGGTGGGTGGTCAGGAGTTCGAGACCAGCCCGGCCAACATGGTGAAACCCTGTCTCTACTAAAAATACAAAACTTAGCTGGGCCTTGTGGCGGGCGACTGTAATCTCACCTACTCTGAGGCAGAGGCAGGAGAGTTGCTTGAACCTGGGAGGTGGAGGTTGCAATGAGCCGAGATTGTGCCATTGCACTCCAGCCTGGGTGACAACAGTGAAACTCCATCTCAAGAAAAAAAAAGAAAAGAAAAAGAAAAAAGAAAACTCAATATCACTTATGAATATAGATGCAAAAATCTTCAACAAAATACTAACAAAATGAACATGGCAACATATAAAAAAGATTATACATCATGACCAAGTGGGATTTATCCCAGGAATGCAAAATTGGCTTAACACTTGAAAATCAATCAATAGGCCAGGTGCGGTGGCTCACACCTGTAATTCCAGCACCAAGGTGGGAGAACAGCTTGAGTCCAGGAGTTCAAGACCAGCCTAAGCAACATAGTGAGACCCTGACTTTACCAAAAAAAAAAAAAAAAAAAATTAAATTAGCCAGGTGTCGTTGTATGTGCCTATGGTCTCAGGTGCTTGGGAAGCTGAGGTGAGAGGATCACTTAATCTTGGGAGGTCAAGTCTTCAGTGAGCCATGATCACACCACTGGGTGACACAATAAGACCCTTTCAAAAAAAGTAAAAAATAAGTAGAAAGAAAAAAGAAAATCTATCAATGTAATACACCATACTAACAATAAAGGACAAAAGCCACATGATCATGTCAGTAGATGCAGAAAAAGCATTTGACAATTTGATTTCATGATAAAAACACTCAACAAACTAGGGATGGGAGTGAACTTCCTTAACTTGATAAAAGCACCTACAAACCTCCCACATCCAACACTAATGGTGAAAGACTGAAAGCTTTTCCCCTAAGATTGGGAAGAAGACAAGGGTGACTGCTCTCACTAACCCAACTGAATAATATACTGAAGGTTCTATCTAGGACAATTAGGAAAGAAAAAGGAATAAAAGGCACCCAGATTTTAAAGGAAGAAGTAAAACTATCGTAGATGACATGATTTTGTATATAGAAAATTCTAAGAAATACACACATACACATTGTTATGAATTAATGAATGAGTTCAGAAAGGTTGTAGGTTACAAATCATAATGCATATACAAAAATCAATTGTATTTTATGTACTAGCAATGATTACAATCTGGACATGAAATTATGAAAACAATTCAATTAAAAATGGCATCAAAAATAATTACTTAGGGAATATATATAGTGAAAGATGTGCAAAACATGTACACTGAAAATTAGAACACATTATTAAAAGAAATTAAAGAAGACTTAACTAAATGGAAAGACATCCATGTTCATGGACTGGAAAACTTCATATTGTTAAGATGGTAATACTCCCCAAATTGATCTACAATTCAACACAATCCCTATCAAAAATCCCAGCTGGATTTTTAACAGAAATTGGTAAGCTGGTCCTACCAGTCACATAGAAATGCAAGGGAGTCAGAATAGACAACAAATCTTGAAAAATAAGAGCAAAGTTGGAGGACTCACACTTCCAGATTTCACAATTTACTACTTAGCAACAGTCATGAGGACAGTACGGTACTGGCACAAAGATAAATATGTAGATCATTGAAATAGAATTGGCAGTTCAGAAACTCTTACATTTATAGGCAACTGATTTTTTATAATGGTGTCAAGACAATTTAGTGGTGAAAGGATAGCATTTCCAACCATTGATGAAGGACACCTGGGTATCCACATGTAAAACAAATGATGTTGGACTCTACCTCACACCATACACAAAAGTTAACTCAAAATAGATCACTGACCTAAATGCAAGAGCTAAAATTCTTAGAATGTGGGAGTAAATCTTTGTGATCTTGGGTTAGGCAACAGTTTCTTGGACATGACGTCAAAAGCACAAGTGACAAGAGAAAAAAACAGACAAATTAGACTTCACCAAAAGTAAAACTTTCGTGCTTCAAAGGACACTAGCAAGAAAGTGAAAATATAGACCCATGGAACAGGAGAAAACATTTGCAAAATGAAATCTTTGATGAAAGTCTAGTATCCAGAATACAAAAAGAACACTATCAACTCAATAATAATAATAATAATAAATCCAATGAAAAATGGGCAAAGAATCTGAATAGATATCTCTCCCCAAAAGATATACCCGAACACCACGCTTCCACTGGGCATCTTCTCTTTAGTTTCTACTTGGTGATCATTTGCTTTAATATTTTAATTGAAGCTCTAAACAATTCATTGAATCTAAACTAGATCAAAGCATGTTGTTTCTTAGAGGAATACAAAGATGAGCAAAATGATATCCCAACTCTCAAGGAACTCATTTGGTGTGAATTCTGACTGAGTGGATCAGAGAAGGTATCCTTTGTGATGGGGCTATTGAAATAGAGAATTGCAGACTTTGGGGCTGCTGGGGACCTTACAGATCAACCAGTCCTACATCTTTCAGATGAAGAAATCCAGAGTCTGAGGGGTGAAATGACTTGACTAGCAGCTGAATATGGCTTGGGACTTCCTCCTTGACTCTTAGTCCAGTGCTTATCTCACTAGTTCAAGTGGTTGAACTTGGCTGGTTCCTCAGGGAGTTTGGAGAGGGGAGGGACAATTTTTTTTTTTTTTTGAGACAGAGTCTCACTCTGTTGCCCAGGCTGGAGTGCAGTGGTGCAATCTTGGCTCACTGCAACCTCTGCCTCCTGGGTTCAAGTGATTTTCCTGCCTCAGCCTCCCGAGCAGCTGGCATTATAGGTGCCCAGCACCATGCCCAGCTAATTTTTGTATTTTTAGTAGAGACAGGGTTTCACCATGTTGGCCAGGCTGGTCTCGATCTCTTAACCTTGTGATCCACCTGCCTCGGCCTCCCAAAGAGCTGGGATTACAGGAGTGAACCACTGCTCCCGGCCAAGGACGGACAATATTTGGGGCTTGGTAAATAGTTGCCCAGGGAAATATGTTTTGCAAGGTCACCCAAGAAATCAGCAAAGAATTGAGGTGAATTTCAGCAGTTCTAGTCACGTGGGACTTGACGGGGGGACTGGCACCAGGGTCTGCCTTGCAATAGGCATGTCAATGTGTGTCTTTCCCAACCTTCTATAATTTCCTGGAGATCTTGAAGCAGGTCAATACTAAACGGCTAGGCAAAACGACTTCTGTCACCTCCACCGTCTCTTTCCTCTAGATGATCCAGTCAGCTGGAGTTGGATTGTCTTTACCTGTAAGGACATTAGTCAAATACCCAGCAGAGAGTGTGAGGAGGAAGTCAATTGAGAAACCAGGTTTGGACTTTCCCTAGGGCTAACAATGAATTATTTTAGCTGGCAACTTGTTTTGGGCAGGAAGGGCCCAGTGTAAATAGTATGCATTGCTGGTTCTTGGCAGAGAGAGCCTGGACACTGTTCTTCGGGGTGGAGAAACAGTGTCCTTCCAAGCTGTACTTTTCAGTCATTAATAGGCACAATCAGTTTATACAATGCTTACAGAGAACTTCCCATGTTTCAGGAACTATGCTAGGTCCTGCAACCACACATAAGTAAGACGTGATTCTCACCTGAAAGGAAGTACAGACAAACATAAGACTGACATATTTAATGGTAAGTGGTCAGTGAAAACCCCTGGATGTTAGAGAGCACAGAAGAGGGGTGTGCATTCCCTCTAGGGTTCAGGGGCTTGGTAGATGACATCCAAACAAAGGAGTTAGCCAGGAAAAAAGCTCCAAGTCTCATAGGCAAGAGCTCAGGTATGGAATCTGCATGTACTCAGGTGTGGAATCTGCATGTAGGGAAACAACAGGCAGTGGATGGTGTTACCAGAGCAGGAAGAATGAGATGGAAAGTGTGGTGACATAAGGCAGAGAAGCAGGCGTGCCCGTGTGGAGGGTAAGTTACGGGAAAGGAGTTAGTCTTTATTCTGAGCAGGAAAGGGGGGCATGCCTGAGGAGATCTGCATTTTAGATAGATCACTGCAGTGTAGATCTAAGGTGGAGGAGCCAAGAACGGAGACAGAGAACCAACTGGAAGAGATGATGAGTATCTGACGCAGGGGATTCATAAGGCATGGATTGGAAAAATATCCAAGAGATGAGCAGTGATGGAGACATGCTGGGTGAGGGAGAGACACAAATCTAGGGTTTCTGGCTTGTGCCTGGGTGGATTATGGGGCCAAACGGAGATAGGAAATACGGGGAAAGGGAACAAGTCTGGGACGGAGATGTTGGCGATGGCTAACATTTATTAATCACGTATATTAACCAGGCACTGTGCCAGCACTTCTCCATGCATTTTCTCTTAACTCCATGAAGTGGATATGATTCTCAATTTATAGATAAGGAAAATGAAATTTGGAAATGTTGAATAGCTTAGCCAAATCTGCACAGCTGCTAGAGTGGTGGAAAAAGTTCAGAATCCATGCACTCTGGCCCACTGCTTTATATGTGTGTGTGCGAAGAGTCTGAAGAGCCTGTGGGGCATCCACAGTAGAGAGGTCCAGGCATTAGGGGGATCATTGGGGCCCAGATCATGGTAAAAACCATGAATGTGGGTGAAATTTCCAAGTTGAGCAGTGAGGGAAGCAAAGTGCCCTGGGGAACCCTGAAGTTAAAGAAGTAGCCAGATGGAAAGGGGTCTGCCAAAGAGCCAAAAACAACAGTCTGATTTTGATTTTTAAGTCAGAAGACATGACCGTGTTATCTGGGCAACAGGAAACTGGGCAATCACAAATACTGTAGCTGTATCAAATAAAAACATTCACCAAGTTAAGCTGACATATTAATTATAACAGTGACTATGTTGCATAGTAATTATCCTGAACAGTAAGCATTTTACATAAATAGCAGTAATTATTATATCATAAGTTTCCCAAACTGTGTCCTGTGGAGTAGTAGTTCCCAGAGATGTTAATAAATGTTTGGATAAAAAAAGGGCTTTGGAGTCAGGTAAGTTTATGAAATGCTGGTATAATTTAGATAGAGGGCCAAACCCTGTTTTACACTTCCTCTCCTCTTTTCTCTGTTAGGAGGCAGTACAGTATAATGGGTAAGATTGTAGGCAGTGGAAACAATCTGGAGTTGAATCCTGCTACTGACAAATTGGACAATGTTGAGTAAGTTACTGAACTTCTCTAAACTCTAGTTTGCTCATCTGTACAGGGTGATAGTAATATATTCACTTCAAAAGGCAGCTCCTGGGATTAAATGGAATGCATTGCATTTAAAACGCTTAGAATAGAGCCTGACATACAGCAAGGGATTCATGAGGATTAGTTATTATTATCTATACACCATACTATTAACACATCTCCCTGATATTCTACAGTTTAGTCCTTGACACACACACACACACACACACACACACACACACACACACACACACACGCGCGCGCGCGCACTGATATTCGCATTTCCTAAAAGTGAAAACCCTTGGCTCTGACTTCTGTTAGTTGAAGTTCTTTGTGCCCTTGTGTCCACCACACCACAGCCTGGAAATGAGCAAGCTTTTATCCCTACTGTACTTCAGGGAAGGGGAGCAGAGGGAGGATTTATGCCCTGGCAGCATGGCCTTTGAAGGGCCACTGCTAGCTCATAGTAACCCTTGGAAACACTTGAAAGAAGTCATCTTCTGGTTGGACACTGGCTTGCACCATGACACACAGCTTAGCAAGCAGTGTGCCCCCTGTATTTTAGCACCCACTTGCTCCCTTGGTTGGATACTCTTGTGCAGTGAATGACCTGTGCAACCATATGTGCAAATCTGACCTTCAGGCCCCGGAAACTAATGACTATTGGAGAAAGGGGGTACTAGCTTCTCTTTCTCCAAGCAGTCCAGGAGATTAGCCCGGCACAAGCCCTAAGTGTATAAATTATCCTTCGTCATCCCCCGCCCTTCCTCCCATAGAGGCCACGCCTCCCATTCATGAACACAAAGACTGACATCAGAATACCCTTAGTGTGAGGGGATACCCCAGGCCTTAACTGCTCTCTGAAATCCCCCAACTGAGGTTGTTAGAGGACAGAACTGTGGAAAGCAGAAACCAGAGGGAATGATTTTTCCAGGTTTCCCCTGACACAAAACGAACACTAACTTTTGATGCTTCAAACCAGAGCAGGCCAGGGCCAGGGCAAGTCTCACTTCCTGACATGGTTTGGAGAGGCGAAGGGAAAAAGATAGGAGTGGGAGCTATCCCTGGCAGCTTCTTAAACCCGACGGTATGGCCAAAATGCTTGGTTCCCAATAAAGGCTCATCAGCCCTTGAGGTAGACACTTTTGTATAAAACAGACCAGAAAGAAAACCGTAGGCCTGAGGATCTTTCCTGGAAGTGGGGTGGAGTGACAGCAGGCAGGCTCCCAACGCGCACGTTCACACCCATCCTCCCGGGAGTCTCTTGAGCCTCCAGAGGGGCTGCTGCCTGGGTGCACCGCTTTTCAGCTAGAAGCGAGTCAAGCCTGACCTGCGGGATCCGGCAGGGCTCTCCCCTCTCTGTACTTGGATTCTCTCCTTTATAAAGGGAGGGATGTGGATGGGTGGTTTTTGAAGGCTCCTCACAGTTCTGACAGGCACCACCTCTAGGGGCTTCTATTCACTCTCCTCCAGTCCTGTCTACCTGGACAGGCAGGGACAGACGACAAGAAATGGCTCACTCTCACCCCCATCCCAGGACCCCAAGGCCATAAATGTGCAAGGACAGCAGAGGCCTGCGTACCAAAGACACCCCCCCATCAATTTTGCTTCGGCTCTGTCTCCATTGCTCTTGTAGATAAATACTGGCTGGGGGCCCAGCTGGGAGTTTAGGTCCTTCAGCCTCAAAGAACAAAGGCTGAGCTGGAGGAAGAAGGGACCGTCCCGGAAGGTGAGGTGAGGGGGTCCTGGGGCTCCTATGCCTCTCCCTCTCCATAGGGCTGGCTGTCCCTCTCTTTCCCACAGATACGGGAGGAGAGAGTGTCCTGTCTTTTCCTCTGAGGCTGATGACTTCATCTCCTCCCCTTCCTCTCTCTAAGGTTGGGGTTTCTACCTCAGCCCCATCTGTTCCCTGGGTCTGAAATCTCCATCCCCTTCTCCCCTTTTCTTCCTTGGGACTGGGGTCTCCACACCCCTCCCTCTCCTCCTCTCTCAGGACCATGTCTCTCTATTCCTTTTCAGGCCTGGCCTCTCCAGCCCCGGGCGTAGGGGTCCGCATTCCTCTCCTTTCTTAAGGCCACGGCTCCCTCCCCCACCCGCTCCAGCTCCTCCTCCCCACCCCCTCCCTCCGCCCCGAGGCATTGTGGGAGGAAACAAGATGTGGGGCGAGAGCGGCGCGGGGAGAAGCCCGCAGTGCGGGGCCGGGCGGGCGCAGCCAATGGGGAGCGCGGACGGCGGCGCGCGCGGCGGGGGGGCGGGGGCGGGGCGCTATTTCAGCGGGGGCCGCGCGTCGGCCGCGCTCAGCGGCAGAGCGGAGCGGAGCTGTGAGGCGCCAACGCTGAGCGGGCGGGCGGGCCGGCGGCGCGAGGCGGAGCGCGGGCGGCCGGCGAAACTCCCAAGGGCGGACCGCGGCAGGGAGCGATCGGCCCCGGGCTGCGGGAGCCGGAGACCGCGGCGGCGGCGGCTGCAGGAGGAGCCCAGGGGACACCGCCCCTGCCTGTGCTCTGCCTCGGGCCATCGCTGCTCCCCAGGGCCCCGTGCGGACTCGCCTCCGTGAAGGTGAGCGGTGGGTGGGGGCGTCCCCCGGTGGCGGGCCTGTGCCCGTCGCGTGCGGCTCCACACGCCCCGGCCCTCGCCGAGGTCGCCCTACGGCCTCCTCAACTGGCCCCAAGGCCTGGAACAGGGCTGGCCCCGCAGTCCTTGGCGTTGACGGTCCGGGCAGCGCCGCGCGCCCCCGCTGCCCCTCCCTCTGGGCGCAGCCCCAGCTGCGCCACCCTCTGCCCCGTCCACCCTCGTGGCGCTGCTGGAGGCCTGGGCTGCGGAGCTGCCGCTGCGCCCGCCACCCCGGGGAGTCTCCCTGCGCTGCGTGGAGGCCCCTGATATCAGGGGCCGGGGAAGAGGGGGTGGAGAGGGCTTGGGCGTGACGCGGCTCCTCCTGCCGCCACCGCCACCCTCTGGGGCGTCCTTCCTGCAGCGAGGACGCCCAGTCACTCCGGCGCTGTTCCAGGCCGGGCGGGGGAGGGCGGCCGACCGGCCAGAGCCTGCGGACCTGGCCGGCGGCGCGGGCGGGAGGTGGGGGGGGAGGAGGATGCTTCCTCGTTCCCCAGGTGCTGCCCTTTGGGACCTCAGCGCTCTGGAGGATGGGATAGTGGAGGGATACGGCCCCCTTGGAGAGCCCGAAGAGGGAAGTAGAAGTGTGTGTCTATTGGCGGGTGGGGATGGTGGTCCGTGTCATTCGGAGATTTAGCCTTTTTTTTGGGTTGCAAAACCAAGAATAGAAGATGGGAGCTGTCCTGGAGTGCCCTTTGCGCTTTTCACAGGAGCCCTGGCTCGTGACTGAGGCGGCTGGCCTGGGGCCCTCTGGCCATCCTCCTCTTATCTGGAGGCCCAGGTCCCTTGCTTTTTCCCCAGGAGGGAGGGGCTAGACTGGACACCTTCCTCTGCTTTGCTCACTGGCACCTTGGACAGGGGTGGTAGGGGTTGGGCTTCAACTCTCTCAGATGCCTGGGGGGCAGGGGTGAAGAATCGTGCCATTGTAGTCACAAGACCAATATTATGTAACCGGAGGCTGTCTCCTGGAGAGTAAAGTGGCTTTTAATTACTGTAACAAAGTTGCCCCTTTGGACTTTGGGAATGAGGCAGTGGAGCAGGTGAGCTTGCAGGCAAAATGGTGCCAATTTCATACTTTCACTTTGCTGTCTAACCAGGCCCCACCCCCACGCCTGGGTTTGTAAACAGTGCCCCCTTCTGAGTGGTAACCCGGAATAGGCCACCAGGTGACACTAGTTTTTCTTCACTTGTACGGAGCCTTATAAGAACCTTTCTCCCTGTGCTGCTGTTGTACCTTTGCTCAGACCCATTGAGGTTGCCCCATTTATCTCATTTCAACCTTTGGTATTTAAAATGAAGATGTTGATTTGCCCAAGGTCATGTAACTAGTCATTCCTTGAACAGTGTTCTCCGAATCTTTCCTCAGCACCATGTGGTGCTCACAGACTCCAGTTGAGGCTCTGACTTTTCCTCTCCATAATGTGGGGGCAGAGGGTGCTGGTCTACTACCTCTTTGCTCTGCTAGTTTCTGCCGAAGTGGAACCAGCCCTGCTTAGTTTGACAGTGCTATCTAGATGAAGGGGCCTTGGATGTGGTCAAGGGCTGTCTGGCAGGCAGCTGGCATGTGTGCATTCTCTGCATGTGGTGCAGGCTCAGATGGTGGTGGTGAGTTCTGTTTTCCCTTTCAGCCATCTAGCCCACAGGCTAATGTGAACTCAGAGATCAGGGTGGCCTGGAATGATACCAAGGATCTGCCCTTGAGCAGGCAGTCTCCTGTGCAGCCTTGTATCAGATAGAGCTGGAATGACAGCATCTCTTGTCCATTGGGCTGGGCCACAGAGTGGTGCTTTTAGGGGTGGGATGATGGGAGGGGGAGATTGTTACTGCTCCATGTGTTGGCTCTGTGGTCAAGGACAAAGGGCTCATCCCCTCTGTTCCTGCATAGTACCTCACAGGCCACTTGCCAGCCAGTTCCTGAGATTCCTCTTGTCCCAGGAAGGGTCCATGCAGGGTCTGCCTGGGAACTCTGGTTGCTATGGGATGAATGGCATGGCCCTGACAGCAGGGATATGAAACAAGGCTCTTAAAATAGTAATTCTTTACCTTTCTTAGGCACCTTTTAAAAATGCTTTATCTCCAGGTTTTTCCCAAGCCTCTGGTTTTTTAAGAGAAGGAAGGCTTCAGCATTTCTTTGAGGAAAATAAGATATTGTCCCCTAACATAATACCTTTCACATCACCTAATAGGTCAGTACTTTTTGAATGAATATGTTTGGCATGAGGAAGCAACACACCAAAGGAATGACAAATCAGTGTTGAAGCTGGGTCCAAAATTAGGGCTTTCAAAAATTATATTGAGCTTTAAAAAATGAACATTGTACTGAGGAGAGTGGGGAAGCAGAGGGGAGGGTGGGACAGACATGTCCCATGTCTGTGTGACCGACTGGCCAAGTCTGAGGTTGCCTTCCCACCATCTCTACCTCTAAGGGGCATCTCACCCTGGAGTACTTGAGAGAAGTCATAATTATCATCTCTGCTCTACTGGGCATTGATAGCCTGGAATATACCCTACCCCTTTTTTTATAGGGCAGGGGTTGGCGGCATTTTTCTGTGAAGGGCCAGATAGGAAATAGTTTTGGCTTTGCAGGCCAAATAGTCTCTTGGAACTACTCAACTCTGCCATCGTAGCATGTTCCTGCAACGCTTTATTTTACAAAAACAGGTGGTAGGCTGGATCTGACTGATGGACAGTCCCTTGTAGACTGTCCTTGTCTGCAGATGTTCTCATATAACTAGTTAATCCTTACAACAACTCGCGATAGAGAGCTATCCTCATCTGCTAAAATGAAAATAATCAAATGCAGGAAGGCCAAGTGACTTGTCTTAAGACTACAAGACATAAACTCAGGACCAGGAGTCAGGCCTACTGAGTCCTAGTCCAGCTTCTTTCTTCATTGATGCCAATGATGTAATGAATGGTCATTAAATCAGGGACTTATTCTGTTCAAATGTTAGGATACCTGGTTTATTCTCAGGACAACCCTGTAGTCCCCATTTTACAGATGATGACATAAAAACACAAAGATTAAGTAACTTGCCCAACGACACAGTTAGTAGATGATACACTGTAATATCATCTTGACTATTGATGCTGTTCAGAATATCGGAAGTAAATTTTAGAGTTGAAAAACCTCATTTTGCCTGTGGTAAAAACTGATGATTTATTATGTCCTATTGGCCCTATATTTCCCAGGGTGGGAACAATGTCTCTGCTAAAGCTTAGGAGCTCCCTCTCCTAATGCTTCACATCTGTGTTTTCTGTTGCCCTCACCTTCTATACTCCCCTCTCTCACTGAGACCCCACACCCAGCAGCTAATGTTCACTGCCCAGAGCATGGAGTTGTCAGCCTTACCTCTCTGCTCCTTCTGTAGTGTCACCATGTCTGACCGGAAGGCAGTGATCAAGAACGCAGACATGTCTGAGGACATGCAACAGGATGCCGTTGACTGTGCCACGCAGGCCATGGAGAAGTACAATATAGAGAAGGACATTGCTGCCTATATCAAGAAGGTGTGCTGGGACAGCTGGGACTGATGGCCATGGGTGGGGATTGACAGCTGAGCTAACCTCCAGGGAGATCTGGAGCTGGGGACATAAGAAAGCCCGTATATCCTATGCAAACAAAACCCTAGGAATTTGCAAAGCAGACAGACTAGCGAGTGATTCCGAATTGCCCAAGCATTCACTTTAGGAGTTGTTAATAGCTCTGCTAGGTGTGTGTGTGTATGTTTACTTTTACAGATAATTTACAAGGCATTGGGGAGGGATAAGAGTATGCAGATACACTTCAGAATTAAATATTTCTGGCCCAGTTCAGAACTATTCAAAATTAAGATTGAGGATATTTGAAAGAATAAGATGTACAAATTTTGAGGGAACTACATCATTTAAAGTGGGTATGCCTATAATAATCCTCATCATGTAGGAGGTTTCCTTTTCTTTTCCTTGAAAAGGACTCAAGTACTACATCACCCCTTTCTACATTCTTAATGAAAGGGTGGGCTCAAATATATAATTTTTAAGAAATGGATAAGCAATAATGGGGCCATAGGTTTGGTCCCTGAAAAATTCCTGAGTGAATTCGTGACTGGATATGGTTAACATGGTGAGGAAGCAGCTGTGCCAAAAGTAAGAAAAGGGGTACTGGGGCCCCCTGATTCCCAGTCAGGACCCATATCCATTGGAGGCATAATCCCAGTGTTTGATATTCTCAGCTCTGGCATCCCAAGAACGTGTGTAAGAATGGTAGCAGTCTAGTCCATTGAAGTGGTAGGGTCTCTTTGAGTTTTACAGAACTGTGTTTTCCTACCCAAATGGGTGGAATGAAAAGAACTCCTAGTGTCCTGAGAGACTTTTTTGGGTGTGGAGCCAAGGGTTGCAGAGCCATTTGGGAGCCCACCTTCTTGCTGTCCTGTACTCTGAGAGCCAGAAGAATCCCCAGATTTTCTGGTCCAGTGCTCTTATTTTGCTGATGGAGAAATGAGAACCAGGGAAGTGACTGGCTCTCCTGTATTACACA